GACCGCCGGAGCTGAGAGGCCACCACTTTCTCAATAACCTTCCCAACAAAGGGGAGCCTGATTTCTTCCCCACACTAGTCTCGACAACACCAGCGGAAGTCCAGCCACATACCTTTGTAATAGGAAATAAACTGAGGAATGTTTGGGCAGTAATGCATAAAAACAGTACATCTACTGCTCTACATCTGTACTTAATGCTATCAGGATGGTATTTACAGTCTATGCTTTGAGAATTTAAGGGAAGTGAAATGCTATACCATTCTGAGAGTTTCTAAATACTTCTTCCTCATTCCCATCAAATGCCAGAATATGAATAGCTCCTACACCTAACACACTGTAAATAGTCATTTAAAGTGCATAGGCTCATATGTATAATTACTTTTAGAGCTTTCCAAACCCATAGAATAGCATGTCCCTATCCACATCTGAAGAGTTTGGTAAGGATGAAACCGGTCACATGCGGTGAGTCCTGGTGGTCAATGTTACTGAAATGCCACATAGGATATGCACTGTGTAAAAATGTAAGGGGGAGGGGGAAAGCCAGAGGATGGAAGTTATTTTAAATGTTTGTCACTGATGTAAAAACTATTCAATACCAACAAAGATAATAGAATAAAGCTAAGTAGATTAGCACAATGGAGGGCATTTTATTGTCAATATTATAATATCACATGTGCAACAGGCTAATTAAGTTAAAATTGGGGGACAAACATGTATGCACTAATATGAAAAAATTTCCATACTTTCATCAATCATGTTAACATATACTTGGGTATAGCTACATTTTTTATTTCAATATTATGGTTGCCTTGCATGTGTACTACTCTGCAAAGATCTATATTTTTAAACATAATGGCTATCAATCCTCTAATCCTTAAAAAGAATGAAGTCCCTATTTTCTGCTTTTTCTTGCCATCAAGAAGCATCCTGCTTGGTACAGGATATACTATTGGAATAGATTGGGTTCATCTATCTTAAATGCCTTTCAACTATTTCTATTATTACATTTTGATCCTTCCCTGCTTATTGAGTTAGAATCATCTGATAGTTGTTAAATTCATATGCCCTTACTGCCATCCTCAAGTGATTCAGCAGCAAGGAAGACCATTCCAGCCTCCTTTCTTGCCTCTGAACCACTTGAGGATTGCTCAGTGAGTAAAAAGGAGGCACAGAGGTTCACATGCACCATTCTGGGCCTCCTTCCTCATTGCTGAACCGCTTTGGGTTGGCTTTGGAGAGGAAAAAGGAGGTACAAAGGGCCGCACACATACATCCAGACCGCCTTCCTCACCGCTGAACCGTTTGAGAATAGCTTTGGTGGTAAAAAAGTAGGCGTGTAGGGTCATGCGTGCACTCCCGCACTCCCCTTCTCACTGGCAATGCGCTTGAGGATTGCGTACCTGTAGGCTTTGGCAGCCCTTTTCAAAAAGCCTCTGCCGGTAGGGACAGAGCTTTGGAGGGAGGCATCCATCCTTCCCAAATTTCGTTGGTGCTGACAAAGACTTTTTGCAAAGGGCTGCTGAAGCCTATAGGGATGCAATCTCCCTGCAGGCTTCAGCAAGGAAATGGCAAATAGAGGAAAGGCTGAAGAACCGAAGCCTTCCCTCCATTTGCAAACATCTAGGTTTTAATTTGCAGATAATAGAGTCCTAAAGTGGGAGATCATATTATATTATAGTCTTTATTGACATTGTACAAAATAAATACAACGAAATTGGTTTTAGCCTCACTGGTGCAAAATTATAGCGGAAACGAAAAAAGAAAAAGAAAAACTAGCACAACTGTGCTACTGATCTTGCATAATTTTGCAGTATGTTAGATCTCTGTTCTCTATGAAAGCATGAAGCAATAAAGTAGGAAAAGAAAATGTGACAGAGTGAGATCTTTGCAAGGTAAGTGAGTCTCCACAGGCTGAGTGCCTATGAAGAACCAGGGGTTGGGGTGGAGATAGGCAGGGTGAATACTGCAGAGCCTCTGTGTGTTCAGTCCCGGCTTTTACAGAAGCAAGAAACAGACTCCTTGCAAAGAAAAACCCCTCTTTAATGACACACTGGGAATTAAGAACTGGCCAAAGGTCTTCCTCATGAATCTGCTGCCAGCTCTGCTGGCAGGCCACAATAATGCAGTCATTCTAAGGGCGAAAAACTGCCATGGTGTTGGAACGTTAATAATTTCAGAACTTGTTTGTAAATGCTAGGGCAGTGATGGCTAACTATTTTGTTGTCACATGCTGAAAAATGTGCACATGCCCACACTCATAATGCAATGCACATATGACACCCCCGCATGCTCCTCCCTGTGAACATGCACGTGTTGACCCCTCACACTCTCCTCCCCTCGTGCATGCATGCACATCCCCCTCACATTCCTAGAATTTTGGATCTAGCAGGCCTTCCTGAAGCCTCCTGGGACCAAAAAGTAGGCAGGGGAGACACCACATTCTCTGCACTCCCCCCACTCCCTGTGCATGCATGTGCGACCCCTTGCGCATGCGCCCCACTCCCATGCATGTACAGCAGACCCGAAAATCAGCTGGCCAGCGTGTGCGACATGAGCTGGGGTGACAGCTCGCGTGCCAGCAGAGAAGGCTCTGTGTGTTACCTGTGTGCCATAGGTTTGCCATCACCGCGCTAGGGCTGCTTATCGCTTAACTTTAAACATCCACTAAGGGAACACTCGTAACCCGAGAATACCTGTATTATAACTACTTTCTTTTTGGATGTTCTAATAGTTTGGGCTGATGCTGGTTGGAACACACAGCCCTGAAGTATCCCAATGACAAAAATCAAAATTAGTATTTTAAATTGTACTAGGAAATAAAACAGGATTCAATGCAGAACCCACATAATTGGTGTCATACGTTTTCAACAGTGAGAGCTAATAAGCATGTGGATTGCTGTATTCATTGCAGTTTCCAAATAGTCTTTAAGAGTAATTCATTAAATCACATCACAATAGTTAATTGGATGGTAACATGGACATCAAGGGTGGGTTTACTGCCGGTTCGGTGCGTGGGTGATTTGTGCAGTTGTCTGAAAATAGCTCTGTGCATGCGCAGAATATTAAAAATGTAAAAAAAAATGCTGTGGCAACTGGGGAACCGGTTCAGGGGCATGGCAAGCCTGCTGTCCCTACCGGTTCCGTGAGCCAGTCGCAATTTCTACTACTGTTTCGCCCGAACCAGTACAAACAGGTAGCAACCCACCTCTGAAGGACATGGATTATATAATCAGCTTCTTCTGGCCCAGGGGAAGCTGCAAGTAAGTACATCAAACAAACCTGGCCATCGGCCTCTCTGGGCTTAGTTTCACTTGCTGTTCCAGAAAAAGTGTGAATCCAGAAAGGCTTCCAAATCACAGAGTCAATCTTTATAGGTAGTGCTTGCCTGTTGAGAAGTTACTAGTGGGAACATGAAGTCAGGAAACTTTGTCTTACTTGGATTCAGTTTCCATCTAATTCTGCCTAAGAATCCTAATACCTAATAATTCTAATTATTTTGTTATTATGCCCCTAATTCTGCCTAAGAATCCTAATACCTAATAATTCTAATTATTTTGTTATTATGCCCCTAATTCTGCCTAATAATCCTAATACCTAATAATTCTAATTATTTTGTTATTATGCCTATATTTGCTGGCAGATACATTTCCACAGACTCTCAGAGGAAGCAAATGATATTTTTCAAAATATTCATACTTACACATGTAGTGGAGGAATGGGAGATGGATCATAATGATAACGTCCCTCATGATGCCTTGTGTCAATTGGTACTGGAGGGTGGAAAGTTGGGAAAAGATGAGGTGGATCTGAAAAAAAGAGAGTACAGATCTCATTATTTTAAATTTTAAATGTAGAATATCAAAAATATTTATTTTTTTACTGTTGTTTATATAATGTAATGTAAATATGTTTATATTTATTAAACATTGGATTCTTTTAATATAGCATTTATTTAATGCAATACATGTTGCATTAAAAACAAGCTTTTGTATTTATAAGTATCCTTGGTTCATAACCATTTGTTCGGCAAACATTATGACACCGTTGAAGGAGCGGTTGGCTGTCAGATTCCTGAATGAAAAATAACTCAACAACATACTTTGATTGACTTGCAGGGCTGGCATGATGTGCAATAAGTTCACATGGTGCAATAGGACTGGTGTTTGTTAATAGGATTCACTGGGCTAGGGATTTTTTGTCTTTCACTGTGAATTGTAGTGTGTTAGGGGGTTGTATGAAGGGAGAGTCAGCCAATCTCATTGTACATATGTTGTACTCAGACAATAAAGGTTTGAAATTGAGCTCACTTATGACTGGTGCTCCAAGTTGTGGCTGTAACAGCATCCTCACAATCATGAATCAAGCATCAATCATGTTTACCAACCCAACGTATATACAGCCCCAAAACATCATTGCTCTAGAGGAGATCTGCATGGAAGAATGGGCCAACATACTAGCAACAGTGTGTGCCAACCTTGTGAAGACTTACAGAAAACATTTGACCTCTGTCATTGCCAACAAAGGATATTTAACCAAGTATTGAGATGAACTTTTGATATTGACCAAATACTTATTTTCCACCATAATTTGCAAAAAAAATTCTTTCCAAATCAGACAATGACATTGTCTGGATTTGTTTTCTCATTTAGTCTCTCATAGTTGAGGTCTACCTATGATGTCAATTACAGGCCTCTCTCATCTTTTTAAGTGGGAGAACTTGCACAATTGGTGGATGACTAAATATTTTTTTGCCCCACTGTAAATCTAAATGCTATTGCTATTAAGAATCACAATATTCAGTGATCACATGATCACTATTCATAAACTTCACTACCAGTTTCAAATTTGGGGGCAATAAAGTCAATGGGGAAGCTGGTAGAAGATTGTAAATGGTGATCACATAACATTGGACTTATTAACTGTACAGAATATGTTTAATAACTGAAACTGTTGCAAGTGCAAGTAAATTGGTGCAATAAAGTGACATCACACTTTATGGCCTTGCGATACTTAGTGATGGAGTTGTCACTCTCAATTACTATCATTAAGCACCTGTTTATGACTAATGCAATTGAACTTATTTGTGCATTTGTTTACTTTTTTATCATTTTGTATCACTCCAATTTTGATCATTGTAGGGAGAGCTACTGTTCAGGGACATAAATTATATCCCAGAACACTGGAGATCACATTCAGTAATTATAATTATTTTTCAAATTTCAGCATTATTGCTTGGGTCCTGCCAGGCTTAATTTAGAATGTTCAGATAAGACTATTTTTCATGCAATCCAGATGTTTACTTTCACTTGTTAGCTTTGTATGATAATAGTAAAATAGATATCATGCAGTATTTAATTTTTGTTTGCCCAAGGGGCCGAGGACTGAACTTAGCATCTTTACAAAGAATATTCTTTATTACTGAATTCTGACTCTCACATCTCATTTCATATACTTTTTACAGTCTTGCAGAATTGTACGAGATATTCAGTTCTGCCAAGACTGGAGGCGTATATGACAAAGATAGCAGTTTAACTAGGTTCAACATAAATTTTATTTGTATGAACCTAAGCCAAATGCTTAAGAAACAGATTATGACTCTTTCATTTTGCCATGGCAAATGTAACATTCTTGTCTAATGTTCTCTTTGTACTACTTTAAATTGTCATAGACATGTGTAGTGTTACATCACATGGATCAGCCACTATTTTATAAGCACATCTCAAGAAATTAAAATTAGATTTTAAGGAGTTAGGAAAAAGCAATGAAATATTAGTAAAATATAATATTGTAATGTAGACTACTTAGAAGAGCAACATTGCAGAGTAACCCTGAAGAAAAGAAACCTAAAAGAATACAAATTTGGCAACTAAGACATTATACAAGAATATGTTACTTAAAAAATTGAAACCATGTACCATGAAAAATAAAATTTATGTTATATGCAGGATATAAATCAAACAATGAAAAAACGTTTAAAACACAAACAGTGATAAAGTAAGTTATGAATGGCGTAGTGGCCTAGCCTCCCATTAGGAGGATTGAGAGTTTAGTCCTTGGTAGAGGAAGATGTTTCTCTCCTAGAATGCAAAGAAAAATATCTGCTGTAATATTGGTGTGCATCTAGAAGGGCATTCGGCCAGTAAAAGGTCAACTCCATCCAGTTGCCTCAACTCTATCCCAAATTAAGGGTAGAGGGTCATAAAAAGGGAGGAGTAATAAACTAAGTTGGAAGTTTTTTATTTCAAAAACCATATTCATGTATTTATTTCATCAAATATAAGGTAGAACCCAGTAAGATATATGAATCAAACTTGTTAAATCTAATTCACAGAATAAACACATAGCTATTGAGAGTGAGCAAACAAATTCAAAAACATGTAAGATCATACCACCCAATTTCAAGATAAGATAGTATTATTATGAAATATATATTAATATTTTCTAGGCACTCCTAAAGTACTTTCATACTTACAATTGTTTATGTACTTTTAATTATTACCATAAGAACCATGCAGATACAATTGTAGTTATTTTTATTAATTGAGAAAACGTTTTTCCTACTTTTCTAGATAGCACACAAAAATATTTCAACGCCATTTTCTTCCACTAAAGAAACAATTTTGGGATTTTCAGCAGTACAGAAATATTTGATTATCATTGTTCTTTCAATGCTACAAAGTTGAGATGTTTCTGTGGGAAGCTTGTGGGAATTCTGTGTGTAATGACTTTGCCTAGATTTAGATAATGAGAGAGCTTAACATTCAAGTTCTGTTCCAGCTTCTTTTTTTCATACAGTTGATAAACTGACCATTCCTTAGGATGTATCACAGAAATGGTCAAATAATTGAATGAGAAATTAAAATGTCTTATGTTTTTCTCAGGAAGTCCAACAACATAAAAAGGTCCTCAATATAGCAAAATATATTGGGAAGAATATATTAGGACAACAAACTAACACTTTCAATATTTCAGAAGGTTTCCTAGTATCTTTGCTTTGAAATAATCAAATGGCAGAAATATATTTTAATAGTATGCACACTGAAAAATGTTTTATGGATTTAATTTTTTGCTGATGGATGTGAATTACTTTTCCTCATATTTACTATTGTATCTGTTTGGATTAAGGCTGTTCAATTTCATTATGTTTTGGTTTTTAATTATCTGTTTCCTCATTTTTTCCTTATCACTTTGAGAAGAGTGGAAAGAATAGTAATATTTTTTTAACATTTATGCTCTCTTCCCTTTTCCTCTTTCTTCACTTTCTTGCTTTTTCTTCCTCACCTTAAATCTACCTTCATTTAAGATTAACTTTCCCATTTCATTGCAACAAAATGTGATGAATTTCCTGGGTCCTGTAAAATCCCTTTGCTTCGTTGATCAAGCGTACATACCCTGCTAAGCTTACTGAATTTAGCAAGTTTCATAAATCAAGAATAGACTTTGTATTACACTACGGCAGTCAAAGATATTTGAAAGAGAAGTGTAGATGAGTTTATGCTTTTAGATTCAGATAAATTAGTAATATAATGTGCATCATCTTTTAAGGACATAAAGGGAGAAATTTATAGAGATTCCAGATCTATTAGCCTCCTTTTAAAAGTCACTCTAATATACTATACATAAACTGTCCAATAATTCTTCAGCAATAAAAATAAATTTTCATTTTAAAGAGACAATACCATAATAACATCATATCATCATTAATCTTATTTTATCTATTTCTTCTCAAGAAATCTCCATTAAAATATATTAATTTTGAGAATAATCCAATGATTATAAAAACAACTAATATACATCTTATATAATTAGTGAAGACTTTTCCAATACATTCCTATGTTGTAACTTAATGAAGCAAATATCATAGCATTCCTCAGAGTGATGAGGATTCCCCCTTAGCAGTGAATCTTTTAGAGACCGAATGCCCAAACTGCAACCCAAAACCCACTTATTTATCGCAAAGTGCCATCACTGCAATTTAATCTGACCACTGAAATTTTACTACCTAAAATAATAATAAGCAAGGCAGAGTTCATCTAATTTTCTAAGAAAGACAGGATAAATGCACTTTTATGCCCCTTCATTTTTTTCTGCTTTTGAAATATTACATTTAGCAACAATAAAAAAGAAAAACATTTGTAATATTTCTTTTTCCCTCCCACTCTTTCCCTTCCTTTCCCTTTCTCTCTCACGTTTCCTCTCTGTCCCCCCTCTCTCTTTCCTCCCCTCTCTCTTTCCTTCTCCCCCCCCTCACTTCTCCTCAGCCCAAAGGAAATTCGTAATTTCTCCTCCATATTTGGCAAAAATCCTCACATTTGAGTTTGTAAAATATTCTTTGAATCCCACAGTTAACTAGTAGATCACTTGAAATTCAGATTCAAGTTGTTACTTTCTGCATTTCTTTAATTTCTCCCCTTGATCAGCAGAGCAAATCCCTATTTTAATATTTCTGCGGTTTCACCATCCAGTTCTGCAGCATTTCCTCATTTCTGCTCGCAAGGACCCCCCCTTGACGGCTTGTTAACAAACGCAGGCAGACAAACTTAAAAGGACTTTCCTTTATCAGTTTTCAATTCAAACTGGCTTCGAGCCCAGAAAATAATAGAAATACAGTCTTTGACCAGATAACGTAATGAAAACAAATCTTTTTTTTTAAATTATAATTTTATTTTTTATTACATAGACAACATAATCACATAACAATAGAAAAAAAAACAAAGGGAAAAGGAAAAAAAAAGGAAAAAAAACCCCATCATCCCATACAATATGTTATTTGATCACAGGTGCATCCCTACTACATTTCCCCCCATATACACATCTTGTATCTCTCTGTTGTATATTTAATAGACACCACAATAACGTAGGGTTTAAAAAAAAAAGGGGAAAAAGACCAAAAAAAAAAACATCATCACAT